CCCCAAAACCCCAAAACCCCAAAACCCCAAAACCCCTGAGTACTCACTTATATGAATTCAAAGAATGATAATCAATTAAAATCAACTTAATATTTTAGAGTTTAGTCTAAATAACTTATTACTTGTATAATACTGCTTTGCCTTTTCATTTCAATTCCAAAAGCAAGCACCTATTTTTCCTTCATACTAATTTCCTTAAGCTTTCCTTAATAATTCTACTATAACCATTTTGATCTTTTTGAACCCTCCAAAAGCTCTCTGCATTTTCCCTTCCAAGTAACTGCACAAATTACTAATCATGAGTGATAATTAGCATTTGAAAGTTCTCTGATCGTCTTCGACTGTCAATAATCTACTGAAGAGCATCTGCCAGTCCCTCTATATTCTCAACATCTAGATTAGTTGTGGGCTCATCCAAAGCTAAAATACCACAGTTTGAGCAAAATGTTTCTGCCAAAGACAGCCTGATAATGATACTTGAGAGCACCTTTTAGCCAGCAGAGCATCTACCTCTCATGTCTAGTTCTGTATCGTCAAAGGTTTTCAATACAATACGATAGTTATAGGATCTTATCCTTGAGTTAGGGTTTCTCTCCACATCAGACTTTATCTCGATAGTATCGATGTCATTGCCCTTGTAAGTGATCTTCCAAAAGTCACTCAAGGTCTTGTTGATTTCCTTCATCTTTTCATGGTGATATTTCATCAACGCCTCTTCTAGAGCGTCATGCTTTTCACTTATCTCCAAAGCCATATCCTTAGTTAGATTGTACTTTATTTCCAAGTCAATCAGCTTCTTTTCTATCTCAGTGAACTTTTCTTCACTCAGTTCAACTCTCATTGCTCTTAAAGTCTCCTAAATAGATATGCAATACCCAGTATTCTTGCTGCCTTGTTAGATTGCCTCAGTTTGCTCTCTTTATTTCTGATCCTTTGATTCAAGAACCATACCCTTACGCTATATGAGTCTTTATTTCTCAAGAATATTAGCCTAGATATCAACCACTTAATTCTTAAGTTCTTTATATTTCTCGAATTCTTTGATAAGTCTGTCAATTTCATCTTATGACTAAATCTAATCATTGATTCTTTTGAGTTCAATTTCCTTAAGTTTGATGTCCTGATCTGTGTTGGAAAGCAGAGACTTTTTTGTTTAGATTTAAATGCTGAACTTATCAATGTCCTACTTCAACTATTCATTTCTATTAAGATTACTCTCAATACTTTGCAACTGAATAAAGAATCTGTTGACCAGATCTAAGAACTCAACAATCTGATTAATTTCACTACTAATTTTCAAAATTGCTTTCTACTTTTCGAAGTCATTTTATATCTATTTAATCTCTTTCTCAGCATCTTTAATCTTCCTCACTGTTAAATCATGTTCTTATTCAGTTTAGGCTTTGAGCTTTGTTAATTTCATCAGATCTTCTTCATAAGTGTCTTAGATGTTGCCCTTATTCTACAGCTAGTGCTTACTCTTTGACATCAACTTGTACTTCTTAGTTTGCAAATGAAGAAATTCTAATTATAGTTGCTATTGCTTTCTCTCAGAATCCTCTTTTTTAGCTTTCAATTAATCCATATCCTTTGTCTCTTTGCTTATTGATTTCTCAGTTTTTTGTAAATCAGTCTTTGCTTTTTATAATTTCTACTTAAGAGCGTCTATTATTGAATCATCAAATTTCTGCTGTGGACTTTACTGCACTAAGTAGTCTATCTCCATTATTGTCGATGCCAGTTCTTGCTGGTTAAAGTCCTTTGACTTTTTCTTAAGATCCTTTAGTTCTTAAATTCTTTTTTCAATTTCTTAAATGAAAACCTGTTCTTAATGGTTTTCACAAAACTGGTCATCTCCTCCCATTTGACTAAAACTCATTATGCTCTAATGCAGCTCATTCTTCTTGTTTTTTATCTCCTCTTTCTTTGGATTATGATCAGAGTCAATCTTAAAATTTATCTTGATCTTTTCTAGCAACTCCTCGTTTGCTTGTTGCTTACAAAGAAAGCAGGCGATATGACCATCCGCATTCTTTTAAGTCTTAGACATTCTGTAGAATCTCTTTATCACATCAGTAGTTGATTAGAACTTAGCCTCAAGATTAATCAATGAGTCAATTTGTTGCTTGATCAATTCAAATCTTTCACCTTTGTGCTCACCACCGTTTTAAATTTGTGCCCCATGTTAAATTCCTGAGCTCTTTCTTATTTTGACTAAGATTACCTCCAACTCCTTAATAGCAAAATTAATAGTTTCTTAATTTGCGCATTTTTAATTCACAGCAAGAATTAACTCTTTGAATTCACAAGCTTAAATATTTTTCTTGTTGATAGTATCTATCCCAAGAAGTTTCAGAATAGGGTTAATTTTTTCTGATAATTCTTTGGCCTTATTGAGGTTCAATAATTATTTTTGATACTGATTTTACAAATTTTAATTAGTCAGTAATTAAGAATCAAGCTGTATGATTTCCTGTCTTAGAATATTAAGATTTTTCTCGTTTTTCTTTATTTTACGCTAAATCTGCTCTATTTAGCCTTGCATCTAAGCCATCATACTGTTGCTTCCTTTTGAATCTAATTCTTTCATTTACTTGAAATTACTTTCTTAGCTGCTCTATTAGTTTTCTTAACCATTCTTTGAGACATTTACCCCATAATCATTAAGTAGTAACTATTAAATGTCAGCTATCCTTTTTTCAATATTTAAGAGTGTTTCTTCGATTCTACCACTGCTTTCATCATTCATATTACTATCAGACTCATTAGAATCGGAAGAATCTCTTTTCTTTTGTTTCAACTATTCTAGATCGTCATTTACAGTCCTCAGATTCTTTTCATGTATTTATCTCTTAGTAGTTTCAATGGTAATAGTTTACTGTGCCCTCTGAATTTTTTCATTGATTTCACTTTCAATTTATGTCTTACTCTACTCTAATTAATCCTTATGCAGCTTACCTAGCTGTATTGACTTGCCTAGATCTTATAAGGATATCTGACTTGAACCTTAAAGTTTCTTCACGAAATCAAGATCAAGCCCTAAGAAGTGAATTGAATTGCTAATCTATCTATTAAGTTCACTAGATGCCTTTTAGCTCTAGTCCAGTAAAGTTTGATTTGTTTGAACAGAACTATTAAGCTAATTTAATTCATTATTAAGCACTATTGTTTAAGTCTTGAATTCCAAGATTTATCTTTCCAAGTTTCTCTTTTCTTCATTGAAACTTTTAATTGTAGATTCATAGTTAGATTTTATTTTATTAAGCTCTTTTTCCTTTTGTTCCAGAGTGAATCTCCCATGTTCAAGATCTTCGAAGTGATTATTTTTGTTCATCTCAATTACCTACTTCTTTTTCTCATCTAATTATGAATTCAAAATATGGTACTCTTTCTCACACATATAAACACGATTGAGTTCTCTTTCAATTTCGGATATTTCTTTATCAAGTTGTAGCTTTTTATCCTAAGCTGCCTAAATTTCACTCTTAAGTTCTTTGAGTCTGCTATCATACTAGCTGACATTTGACTTCAATTTAGCATACTACTCATAGTCCTTCTTTTTCAAGTCTAACTCTTGTTTAAATTCTTTAGCATACTTTGTATATTTCTTTGCAACTGTTCTCATATCTGCTAGAGCTTTAGTGTATTTAGTTGTATCAAATATTTCATCGAAAATCTTTTTCAGATTTGTCTGATCAGAAAATGGCCATAAGCTCTCTTCCTGATGACAAAATATCACATTCTCTAAAATGGCATTTGAAACTCCCATTAGCATCGGCAAATGTCTATCCATGTCAGCACAATTCTTGTTTATAGATATCTCTTAGCCAGTCCTTTCATCTTTTGCCTTTAACACTTGCTCTAGTTTTTTGAATTCTTGCTTATTCTTTTTGTTCATCAACTGAAAACTTCTCATTGCAAAAACCTATCAAATATTTAGTAAGACTTTTTCAAAGAGTTTATACAGGTTTGCCTTTTATGGTATTAATAATAAGTTTGATTGATGCCTTAGTTTCTGGCTAGTTTGAGACTCTTGGATCATGTATAAAAGTTTTACCACCTTGCGTATGAGGAGGCATTGATCCAGATGTCATTGTCCTTAAACTTTCAATAATAGTCTATTTTATTTGTAATTTACATAAAAGTCTTACAGTTTTTCCAGCACCATTTTATCCTAATATCAATGTTAGTGGTTTATAGAACTCAATCTTTTCCTCTTCAAAAGGAGAAAAGCTTCGTATACCTCTGACTGCAAGTTTATCTATGGAGGACATAATTTGGATTTTAAATTTTAAAATTAAATTACCGCTCTAACTATTAACATATAAGATTCATGGGGTTTTGGGGTTTTGGGGTTTTGGGG